GAAGAAAGAATAGAGACATATGCTCAAGGAACATTAATTGGCGAAATATAATTCTAAGCACGATCTCATGAAAAAGAGGACTAATGGTTGGTTAGCGGGTGCTCTGACGTGGTAGGCTCCTTCTTTCTCATCAAATACAATAATAATATATCGTCCTAATTTCTCCTCCTTTTCCCCCGCATGTTTCGCTCTTTAACACTTATATCACTTATCTGTGTGGAAAGGGCCGTAAAACTCTTTCTAAAACTGAAACTTTTGTCAGAGAAAAATTTTTTGTTTTGTGAATTTTATTTTACTTTAGTTTTTCGTTTTGTCTTCTTTTGTTTTAAATGTTCGTTTTGTTATATCAACATAGATTCCTCTACACGTTATTTTTGCCCTTCTTTCAAGATGCCATCCTGTCTAAGACGAATAAACACCGAGCAAACTTGTGAAGATAAACAGGTTAGGAGAAAGTAAAAAACTGTTCACCTACTGGAAGTAGACACAACATCCGCGCAAGATAGACGCCCGCATGTATGTATGGAGAGATATTCTCTCTGTCTCTCTCTCTCTCTTTCTCCTTCTCTCTGTCTGTCTGTCTGTCTCTCCCTATCTCTCTCTCTCTCTCTTTATCTATCTATCTATCTATCTATCTATCTATCTATCTATCTATCTCTCACAAACACACACTACACACACACACACACACACACACACACACACACACACACACACACACACACACACACACACACACACACACACACACAGACATACACACACAAACCCACATACACACATACACTAACACACAAACACAAACTCAAAAACACTCACACAAATACACAAACACATACTCACACACACTCATACATACACATACACACACACAAACCCATACACACATATACTAACACAAAAACACAAACTCACAAACACTCACACAAATACATAAAGACACACGCACACACACTCATACATACACATACACACACAAACACACACACACACACACACATACACACACAAACACACACACACACACACACACACACACACCCACACACCCATACACACACACGCACTCACACACTCACAAACCAATGCGTGCAGAAAGTGCACGCAGCCGTGAGCGAACTGGCATGTGCACTACAATACACGAGCGTAAAAACACAAAAGATTCACTGTTTTCAGAAACTATTACGTAAAGGCAACACGCCCTTTACGTACGAAGCTCTCGACCTTCTTGTAACCGCTGTTTAGCCCAGAATACACCATGGTATTACCCATGATTTTAGATTGATTCGGAAACTGACACGTAGCCTCAAAAGTATAACCCAACTGTGGGGGTTATGTGGGCAGTACAGAGGTTTCACCCGCGCGGATCGAAGTGCACTGTCATTCAGATAATGGGGTCAGCACTCGATGCGATTGTCGAGAAGTCAAAAAGATCTGACGCCACTCTTGCCGTGACGTCATTCGATATCGAAACTCACGGGGGCACCAAGAAACCCCACTTTCTCTCTTTTTTTTTTCTTTCTTTTTTCTGCTGCTGTTATCGATCCAGGTTTTTTAAAAAGTGAGTGTGTTTATAAGCCCCCATTATCATAATTTAGATCTCGTAGGCGTTGGGCTTCGATCCAACCTTTCAGGGCCAACCCGGGCTGAGAGGGATATAGTACCATCCTAGCAGAAAGATACACATTCTCTGCGCAAGGCATCGAACTCCGGTTTCCTGCAAGCGTCAAGCGAAACGCCAAACCGCTACACCACAAACGCTGGCTACCCATCGCATTCTCGAGTCATGATACTCATTCAACGATGCACAACTTACTCACATAAGCACACACTTCTTCACAAACTGCAACCCAGCAACATTAGATTCCAATAGGTGGGTGGTTGACGGGTGCTCCGGTGCGGTTTGCTCCTTCTTTCCTATCAAACATCTGTGGTCCTTATCTCACCTCTTTCTTTTTGTTTGTTTGTTTGTTACTCTCTTATAACACATTTAATCTTCGGCTCTAATATTACATTATTGTGTTGCAAGTGCCGTAAACCTCTTAATGGAACTTAAAAAAAAAGAATCAAATAACACCAGAACAAGACTTTCTTCTGAATATGACATTGGGGGCTCTCGTGGCCTAGAGGTTAAGGTGTTGGCCTCTCATTCAAAGGTCCCGGGTTCGAATCCGGGTAGCGACCGAAAAATTTTCTTCTCTAA